CGGGATTCTGGGCCGGAGGTTTTTCTACCTGACTTGGCCGAAGAAAGCAGGTATTATGGCAGCTGTAAAGCACTAAAACAGCCGAATAGTCGTAGAAGGCCCGTGGTGGCCGCCGCGCAGTAAGTGGACATTAGCGCCCGCATTATGAATCGCACCGCATCGGCCAGCTTACCTGGTGAGGCCCAAAACGCACAAAGAAGGCGTCGTAAAGCGGGCCTTGTCCGTATATCAGAAACACGCTGACGGAGACGCGTCAAGTCATGGTACGCACAGGCGTACTTTTTTTTCCTCCTCTTCTTCGCATACGTATCGACATGCTGATATCGATATATATATATATATATATATACACATCGATATCGTGTTTGCCATCGTGAGAGATAATGTTTTGCAGTGAGACCAACACGACGCGTAATTTATGTCCCGCTGTATCGGCCTTAAAATCGAGGAGTTAATGAACGAATTAGTCGCGAGCGTTGGACTCGGAGGTCTCGTCTTGGTCGCGGTTGGGATTATCGACTATCCGGCACACCCTATATACGTAGACGCCTATGTACCCCATGTATACGTATATAGGAGCCGCATTTTACGCTTCATGGATATTTTCGGGCCTTCTTAGCTCGTTGCTCCTCTGGAACCGTAGGTGGGGGATTACCCTCCACCGACAACGCTATTGGTTACCGAGATTGCGTTACCGCGTCTCCCGATAGGTAAAGGCACGAGAAGAATTCGTCGTGGGTTCATCAGAGAAACGGTGAGGTTAGGATCTCGCGAGGACGGCCCGCGCTAAAGTGCAACATTCCATCGCGGTGGTACCAAGCAAGTGTCTCAATGGCAGTCCTAACGTGAAGTACCGAGTGAGTACACTTTCTCACATCCTTGCCATTTACTCGAAGTCATGAAATTTTATTCGGAATATTTTCCTCGAGACGCAGGCATTAGGCGACCCTCGTCCCGTGCTTAAAATTAGTTCATCAAGTTTGTGTAACTTGCGTTTATAAAAAAGAATTGAAAAAAAAATTTCTCACACGCGTTTTATTCGTATACAGCAATGCTTCATCACGAATGCCCAAAATGTTTATCTCTAATGTCCCATCAAAGGAGCAATTCGCTTCCGACCGTCGTAAGATAATTCCCTCCGACTGAATAATGTCCGTGCGTCGAGTCTGTGCTTTCTCACGGTAGTCCTTCGCAAGGGAGGCACGAAAGAGACTCGCGCGTCGAGTGCGAGAGACTTGCACGTTCACAGATCAAACAAGTGTAAAGAGGCAATGAGAAAAACATTCGCCGCACATTCACGCCGCTGCGCGCCCTGTCGCCCCTCATCAAATACCGTCGCGGCGTTCGACGCGCAGACGACGGGGAGATCCTTATCTCGAATCAAAGATGCGAAACACCTCGGCCGGAGGAGCCCGACGAGGAGAGCAGCTCTCTCTCTCTCTCTCTCTCTCTCTCGCTCTCCCTCTCTCTCTCTCTCTCCCTCTCTCTCTCTCTCTCTCACATAGGTGAGACGCGTTATTTCAAGAGATTTTCAGATTTATAACAATGCGGCCGACCTCATGGTGCGTCGGCGTCTAACTTTTGGGTTAGGTTTAATAATAAAAATCGTGGGTCGATTTTACGACGAACAATGGCCTACTTGTGTGTTATACATCGGGAGAAAGATCACTCTTCTTCCTTCGAGTGAATTATGTGTATCGAGCGGGAGAAAGCGAAGAAGAGAACGAGGAGAGAGGGAGAGACAGGGTGCAGCGGAGAGAACGAATTTTTTCTTTTTTTAGTAACAAGGGCTTTGTTGGATATTTGCGCACACACTTAGGAGTGGTCAAAAGTTAAATCAGGGTTATGGACAGTCACGATTTGGGTGCCATTCGGAGGTAAATGGAGACTGTGTGGAGGGGTATGTGAAGCCACTTGGACCCACAAAAGTACCACCTGACCTTTTCAAGCGGACGAAGGGTACACGCTGTTCAGTTTTAACTTTTGTTAACAAATCAATTCGCTGAGCTTTCTCATCATGCCTTTCGGGACATTGGCGTCGGTCAATCGACGTCGATGGGATTCGAAGCTTATTATAAAAACGATCGCCGGTTCGTAGCGCAACCAATGGACATAGCGCGACAGTTCTGCGGAATTTTTACCGCGAGATGGCTCTGATAACACGTTGAAGCTGAGGAAAAACGGAAAACGGCAGTCGTACGGTATTCTTAGAGGGACTGCACAATTGCCGTTGGGAACACAATGAAGCGCGCGAGCCTCTTTGTTTCGTGCGCGAGAAGCGAGACAGACGGCAAACATAAACACACGCGACCTGTCTATTACCGTAACGCATTCAAATACAGTCCAATACTTCACGCGTCGTTTGTCGCACGCTAAAAGGCTCCGGCGCGGGGAGGTGTCCTAAAAAATATAGACGGTCGATAGCCTGGACGTAGGTAAGTAGGTTTTGCGTGCAGGTACACCGACTGTCACAATGTACTACGCAGTCGCGTATGCCTTACCTCCCGGCCCCACTAAAAAACAGGTTTCGAAGGAATCTGACTGAAAGTAAGTGACTATTAACGGCGGAATGGCTTTATAAAAATTTATCATCCCCGGGCTTAATAGTCCGCTGGTACTGGACGAAGTATCTCGGTCGACCACGATGCCGATAATAAAATACCAATGAACGGAGTGAAAGAGGTTCCTTTCCGCCCGCCTCCCTCCCTCCCTCCCTCCCTCCCCCCCGCCCCCGCCCCCGCTGCCCACCTCCCCACCCGGGCACATGGGCCCGTAAAAGCAGCATTCTGATTTTACACGCTAATCCCTGCTACGTACGTAGGTGGACTCGCGCGCGCGCGCGCGCGCGTTGGTACCTGTCAAAAAATAGCAATGGGGTGTACAATACTTCGAGAGACGGAGTCGGAGGGCCTCATGGCAGAAGTTAACCGCAACGCAGCAGGGCTGCGAGAGGCTAGTTCGCCGGTTTCGATGGGTCCTTGCCGTATCGCGAGAAAAATAAGTCACTCAATGGCGTACAGCACGGTTTTTTTCAAAGGAATTCTTTGGAGACCTTACGAGGAAGAAACGTGTGAATAGAGGCAAGTGACAAGTAACGGATTGTTAGAATGTGTTCACTTTGTGACGTAGCTCAAAGAGAGAAAGAGAGGGGAGGGGGCGATAGAGAGAGAGAGAGAGAGAGAGAGAGAGAGAGAGAGAGAGAGAAAATCAACTCAAAAGTTGAAAAACTTGTACACTATATATTATCGGCATAAAGTCACAATTTGTACGAACACCTCCTCTAAGAATATCGTTGTATCCTAAAATTCTTCTTGTTAATTTTCGCTACATTTGCGTAGAGTTATCAGAGATACAGAGCCTTCTTCAGAGCATTCTACAATCGTTTATTTCGCAGTAGAGTTATCGATTAACATTGATTTGTGTAATAATGGACAGTATCCGCGCCATTTCACGTTACTGTGTTTGATCATTTGGGATCTTCGATTATTTGTGCCGGTGTATTATTTGATCACTACGTCGTCCTCTGACGCAGCCGCTAATGAATAATGTTGTAATTATTATCGCGAGGAGACATTCCTCGTAGATATTATATGCTTGACAGCGTCCGAAAAGAGATTCGATAATTCGAGAGTCGGCGGGGTCTACGCCAATGGGTGAAGCAGGTCAGTACTGCTGTGAGGACAAAGAGATCCTTTCCCGTCCCTCATCCTTCCTCCTCCCGCTTCAAGAACATCCCCTTTCTACCACGCCATAGCAGCCGTCATTGCACTAATGCAAGCTTGGCCGCATCGCGCCACCGTGTAACGTAAGCGCAACGGCGAGTTGCAGCTGTCGGATGTTCGCCCTTCACGTAACTAATGCTTTTCTAAATACAACTCGGAGTACCTCGAGGTGCCGCCGAAAATGCAGGATACGCAGCGGCAGCATGAAAAACACGTTTTACGTTTTAAGAGCATTTCAAAGACGCACTTTAAGACGCGGTAAATATATTTGAATCTTTCCCTGCATTTTCAATTTTCCTTTTTGCCTCTGCGCCGCATATCTAGGCTAAATCGCTAAAAGAATGTCCTCCAATGTAGTTATGTCTAACGTCCTTTTCGTTCCATTTCTGTTCCTTCGTATTATTTGTTGGATATTATTTATCGCGTACGTCGAATTCCGCAAGAAAAAAATTTCACAAATTTTTTGCGTCATCATCGGGAATTCTCTCGTCATCCTCGCTTCGCATTTTTAATCCCTACCCATCTCGTCTCTTTAAACAAAACAAGCTTTGTAAAGAATCGCTAGCTCCTTCTTTAATGCTGCATGGCGGCTAATGGATTAAAAACGAGCTGGTGTGAGGTAGACGAGGAGGGAGTCACGGGACGACAATCGAAGAGTAGAACAGGCATAACCGTTACGCTCTCATTTTTACAAAGCGTGGGTTCACAGCAGTGCTACGCAAGAATTTACACTTGAAAGGTTCGAATTAGCACTTTTTCTTTTCCGGGTGTTTTCGGAGCATCGGTTCGTTAGTGCCACATTGTCGCCACTTACTTTTACGGCAATTCTTACCGGCGAATTAAAATGATGTTTCTGCGTCGCAGACCGATCGTTTGTTTCGCTATTATTCGTTTAGTGCGCGTGGTCGAAACGCGTTACGTCGACGAGCAGTAGTTTCACCAATCAGAAATATACGCGTCTTACGATTCTTTCGGATACATAAAGTATTACTTTAATGCATTTCCCTTTTGATAGAACGCGCAGATTAACGCGCGATGGAAACGAACGATAATTCATGAAACTGCAAATGTAATGGTACGGTGCACGTGTGGGTACGTGTGCAGAGCGTGAGTTGGTACTTTTCATCGAAAACGTGTGTGACGATCTACAGAAGTGCAAATAAATTAGAAAGCAACTTCGGATATTGACCGAAAGTGTGCTGCGCAGTTGCAGTTTACGGATTTGGGTCATTCTGAAGCTTCAATTTGCGTCGAGTAGCGTCACGATGGTCTACTTACAACGATCGCCGATCTTGAAGGTACGCACAAATTCACTAACTGCAGATCGTTGCGAGCCTCATGCAGCGTGACCCTTCCATTCGATTTTTCCTGAAAGCCCATCAAATTCTTAATTCAAGAAAAATTGATCGACACAGCAGCGTTGTGCTGAGAGTTTTCGATCGACCCTATCTTATCGTCGTACGTGACGTAAATTAATGTGTATGATATTGAAATCTATCCGTCGACTTGACGATTTTTACTATTATTTTACTGTTATTTACTTTTATTATTAACTTTGAAGCGCGAAAGAAAAGTAATTAGGAAAATCGAAGTGAATGAGCCGGGAAATCGAACCTGGGACCTTCCGTCTTACAGCCGAATGCTCTACCAAGTCACTCTGGTTACACGCTTTAAAATATATATCTATCCATTTTTCTTTCTCTCTCTCTCTCTCTCTCTCTCTCTCTCTCTCTCTCTCTTATTAATTATCTTAATTGTTAAAGCGATAACTCCTCCAGTTACAATTGCCTGTAACTCAACTTTTTTTAGGTACAAACGTCGACTGTACGCGATCTGGGTCGTGGATAAATTCTAGCAAGTACCAAAACTGTACCAAAAGGGTTAATGATTTTGTCGAATTTGGCAAGCGAAATTCTTCTGAAACATCTCCGAGCAGTTCAATCAGTTAATCAGTTAATTAACAACGCATTATTTTATGTTGATTTTATCTCGTCCGTGAATTCGTAAGCGCTTCTTAATTGCTTCATACCGTTATTTCACGATACATAGGTCGTGCCATCATTTTAGCTCACTCGGGCTCACGATTATTCCTTAGCGAGGTCGCGTCGCACAACCCGGTGAAACCGGAGGCGGACAGGTTCTTTAGGTACGAGCGTATCGTTAGTCGATCTGCTTAACCTTAGACAAATTCTCGTTCGGCGACAGTTATGTTGGGGACACTAGTTAATTGGAGGTCTGAAAATTATTTGCCGTGAGACGGCGGAACGGAGAGTGGTCGTATACTTTCAATAACGAAAGGCGACATGAATAAAGATGGCCGCAAAAACGTATCCGTTACTTTTACATGTACATAACAGTATCTGGTCGAAGTGAATACCTCGTACCTCATGCTATCATTATCAATCTTAAAGATATATGCGTCATAAATTTTCATTCGATCCGCGAATGTTGTTGTCGGTCAAACATGAAACGTATTTTGCGAAGCACAAAATAAATTAATTATCGAACTTATAATTATTTAATTTTATTCATTGCGTGTTACGATAACATGTTTTGCTTAGGAACCAGATATTGTTTTTCTTCACCAGTCACCGGAGAGCGCGTTGTTGTCGAGTGTTGAATGTTACATTTCTAAAAATAAATTATCTATGAACCAACGTTCAATCTTCACGTTGTATTCTACAATTATTCTGAAAGATTTTTATTATTATCAATTATCAATCTCCGTTCAACGATCAAACGATCAATCGACCGTTGTAAGAACGATCGTGTTCTACACTTTGAAATTTTCGCGCTAAAATTTTCAAAATTCGGTTCAAAAGTCGAGTTACAGAGAAGGGTCGAAGAAGAATCTCAAAAATCACTGTATGAGTTCTAAAGAAACGATAACAAATGAGAGTCGAAGAGCAGGTACTTGAAGACTCCGAAGACCGGTATTAATGATCCGACTACTCCGGAATGTTTCGACGTCGGTAGAAACGTGTTACTGGTTAAGTGAAAATGTGCGTAGATTCCTTCGGAGATACACAAGACCCTCCCATTGCCCTTGCCAGTCTAGTCTTGCGGGAAATAATAAAAGCACAGAACATAATCCTTGCTAGGCCAGCCGTCATGTATCACCAATACACATATCGACACTACCTACACCACGCAGAGAGTGAAGAGGGATCGGTTGATTTTTCGGGTATGCGGCGTGTCTAATCCTGCTGGTCTAATGCTTGAATGTCCAGACGTTGCACGAAGCGCATGGAGCGCAGACACAAAGGATCCATGACGGTCGTAAGCCAGAATATACAGACCGTCATTTGTTTATTTGAACCGCCTGCGGTATCTCTTGTGCAGAGTCCATTTGTTTGTTTACTATCACCGCCATAGTTGATCCCTCTGCGTGTGCGTTAAGGATGCTGCGCGAGGATATTTGTTGAGAGATATTTTATGGCGAATCATTTATGAGATGAATTTTTTCCAAGGAATATCTTGACTCTACTCTCATCTTTTCTTTCGTTTGTGGCAATTACATAACACACTCTATTCTTTTATCGCTAGGCGTATAAAAAACTCGTCTGTTAAAAGCCCATTTGGTGTTGAGTTAAGAAACAGATGTCAAAAATGTATTTCATTTGAAAAAATATATTTTATTATCACTTTATTAATATATTATTATAATATATTATATTAAACATCAAAGCGCATATCTTTCTATTTACAATTACCTTATTTATCCTTGTCTTGTATATTTATATTTATATATTTATAAACTGCAAATCAAACAATCATTTTTATCATGACTCAGCTAAATGTCTGCAATTTCTCACAGTGCAACAACAGCATTCCAGCAGCTAAATTGCCTGCACCGAAGATCTTAGAATCAGCCGATGAAAAACGGCTTCTCTCTTCGACTGAACTGTGACAAGATATTTTTTGCACTTTCTTACGGAGATTTTTCCTCGACAGTTTTTTTCTGGTCGAAGACGTATGTTTCCATGATGTGAGAATTCCGTAGTTTCGCAAATACGGAATGTTGCAAAGAACTTTGCGACCTTTGTACGCTTTTAGTATGTTCGTACGTGGTACTATGTACGGGGACCTTCAATTTAGCTTTTCTTATTCCTTTTCTCGCTCTTTGGCATTTATCTTCTATTTTTCCTTTGAAACTTTCAAAGTCGCAAGAACCACATTAAAGTACACGAACCTGACAATTGACGAACTTGTGACTATAGCTTGCGAAGAAAACACCGATGAATTTTCTTGCTTCAAGCAGAGGGACGAGGTAAAGACGAGAGTAAGGACGAAGGGTACGGACGAGAAACCGGTAAATGAGGATATACCTGCTGGTGGATATTAACATCATACCCTCGTCACTTTTACTGGTCTTTTTCTCTGTCTTTTTCTATGTAGTCGAAAGAGCGCGGCGCCGCGCTCTCGTCCCTCTCATACACACGTTTTTCCCATTCGACTCCGCCCTACTCTCCGCACCTTCTCTCCTTCACCTTCCTGAATATCCAGCAAGTTAAACATATCTGAAAGGAGATGCTGCATGCAACATAACTGCAAAGTCAAATCCGGCCTCTCTCCCTCTCGTGCTAGCCGAACCAAGACGGTCCCTCGCGTACTTATGCTGCATTCCAAGCGTGGATATCTCGCGCTCGCTCTCTCTCTCTCTCTCTCTCTCTCTCTTGCTGCTCAAGCAGCTTCTCGCTTCGCCTTAGCGGAGCTAAGGCCATCGTTAGGCCAAAAAGCAACCCACGCTCTTGTTGCGCTTAGCACGCTAATGTTCGCCCGGCACATCCGTTTGAGAGCGCATTTTAGTAAATGGCCAGTCAGCTCGCCCGTAACGAACTTTCTCTCCCCAAGTTATTTATTCTCGTAATTGGCCTGATGGTATTTATAGTTGTTCGCCGAGTGATGACTTGGCGTTGTAAATCGACGGAGATATTAAACAGCATCGGAGAGCGATATTTTCCCCTCTCAAATCGTGATGTAAACATTTTACTCCCGAGTTCTTATTTATCTCTCTCATATTTTCCAAATTTTTTCGCGAGGAGGAAGACACGACTCTCCTTCGGCGGGCTAAATGTATCGTGCGAATTTTATGAAGTGACACAAGGGCTCTTCTGCAAACTTGGCTCGACTTCAATCGTTACTGCAATGGCTGCTTCGACTGTCACTTGAAACGTCACTTGAATACGACTCTTGTGTTTGACATCCTGGCGACAAGCTGAACTCCACGCTTCCAACTGTCTTCGCGTGATCGCGCCAACTAGATCGAAAGTAACGGTTCAAGTTCAGTCAACTTTTACGATCATCATCGCGAGAAAGAGAGAGAGAGAGAGAGAGAGAGAGAGAGAGAGAGAGAGACGGACGTCGTAATCATCGGAGACTCGCACATCGCCGGCAGATGCGAAAGTACTTCAAGGTACACTAACCCAGCTAACCCGAAACACAAACGAATTGCAAAGTTGACGCAGTAACGAACAGACGATCAACATACCGCAATGGCGACGCAGGTCGCCACCACGGGCGATGGGTTCTTCGAGTTACGGAGAGGCGTCAAGGTGAAACGCTATCGTTTTGATAATTGCGTTAACGGCCGCGAGAGCACTATAATAACCGCAGCTCAGCCTCGCCGCGCAAAATGGCTCAATTAGCCACTTATCACTGATACCGAAATCATCGGCTACGTGCCGGAGTGGCTGGTAGCGCTCGCGCCAACGACGTTACCGTCGACGGCCCGGCGGATTTAGCGTGCGTGAAACTTGTCGCCGCTCGATCCTGGTATCCTCAGCAACGAGACGCGCCACGTGCGCGAGCTGGCCCGCGCCGGCACGCACGTCCACCTTATTACGGTGATTGCCGGTGTAATCAGAAGTGGGCGATTTCCGAGCGGCCTGCTGCGCGTACGTGCCGTATCGCCTAATTCGGGCAGTAATCGCCGAGCTGGCATCGAGCAGGCACGAAGTAATAGACGATGAAGCGACGGGAAAGCGAACAGCACGCCATGACTGGCGTGTAAGTTGAGACGGAAAAAATTGGAGCAGAAAGGGAAGCAGAAATTCAGCTGGCCCAAAAAGGGAGTACCAAGCCGTGTCAAAGCCGTGCAACAACAAAGGGATTCCTTCCCCCCCCCCCCCCCCCTCTCTCTCTCTCTCTCTCTCTCTCTCTCTTTCTAACTCGCTCTTTCCGAAAAGTTGCAACATGTGGTTGCCGGTGATGTAACCTTCCCTAAGGAGATGCGTTTCTAAAGCCGTGCTTCTTCCTGTCAACTGCTGTCGTGTCAAAGAACGAGCCGTTATTTGTTTGGCTCGCCGTTAAAAAGGAAAAAAAGAGAAATCAATGGGTTTTCAGAAATTGAAGGCAAGAACGGGTTA